TACAGAAATCTCATCTTGATTGGGAATAGGGTGCGGGAGAGGAGGAGAATTATTGTACCCGCTCTCGCTATGTGACTCCCTGAATATCAGAACTTCAGTGGAAGGAATGGACCACACTGGAGGCAGTACTGGGAACCATTGGTGGTGGTGGTGGTGGTGGGGGTTGTCAGTGGGAAGATTCATTCCATTAACAATTAAAATGCAAAGCAGCAATAGGAAAGACACAATGTTGTGTGATAAATACCAGCCAAAGTCAATATTATCCTCCTGTAATTTCAGTTTTTGCCTCATGTAATAAAGCCCTCTGTATGGAACAGTGGAAAGCAGCTAAGGAGGAGAAAACCATCCTTGCAAATTATAGATAATATTTGAACAATAGGTAGAATAGACAATGTTAACTTAGGGGAAATGTGTAGAAGGCAATGCATGACAGTCCCTGTATATGGTACTTTGGTATGGACATATTTTCTCTCTAGTCTATTGAATGAGAACGGAAGAAATATTATTTATAACTTTGTCCTTTATTCTCCAACCTCTAATAGTTATTTGCTGGAAGTCAATTTTGTAGACGTCAGGAAAAACACATAAGGATTCATAAATCTTGCCTGAAGGAGCATTCAGCCTGGTTGTATCAAGAGCAAATGCAAGACACTGGCAGTTGTCACCGTGAAATAGTGAAAAAAGCTGTTTGTGGGATATGAAAAGCTTGATGGGTGTAGAAGTTAGTTGCAGGAAGAAACAATGTAAATACTGTAAGACAGGATGGATGGTTTGAAGGAGGAGAAAGCAGCAGTGCAGTAATCTGCACTAATAAATATTTTAAAATTAATAGCACAAGAAAATTTGAGAGTACTAACAAAAGAAGCAGCTAAACATGATACAAGTCTAGATTGTACTCATATTATGCATTTTATAGTACATTAACAATAATGGCCCATCACCATCCCAAGAACTAATATAGCAATAATAGTGTTTGCAGAACCTGATAGTATGTTACAAATAACATTATCTATTACCTGTGTTTTCAAACAACAGCATCCCCCACCCCCCGCAAAGAATTCACCAAAAGACAACAAATAAATATATGATTTTTTTCTTTTTACTAAAAAACCTCTCTCTGAGCTCCGGAGTTGCACAAGTTCTAGGCTTTAGAAGATTGGGAATGAACCCACCAGCAGCTGTGCCCCCATGAACTATCTTGTACCTAACCCTTTAATAAATCATATCAATTTTATGATTTTTGGGTAACTTGTATCTTTCATGCTGTGTACTATATCTATTTCTTAAATGAAATTATATGAACCACTTCTTAGAAATGTATCAAAATGTAGCCTAGAGACAGGCACCCCTCTGTGATCCTGTAACAATAATCTCCTGGGAATTGAAAAAGTTAGGCAGATCCTTCTGGCTATTTCCCAAGCCAGATAATCATCAGATTAATTGTGTGTACGCAAAGATAGCTGAATTCCTTTGCCAGCCAGATTAGCCCGAAATGTTTTTACAGCTCACATAAAGCTGGGAATCTGCCACCCCTTCATGGATATAGAAGCGTAGAGTATGCACATTTGTTAACTCTTTTGTTGACAGCCAAGCCCTTGATTACTCAACAATAGCACCTTTATCCTTTGAATTTTGCATCTTTGTCTCTTGAACTCCATATCCTTGTTTGGCATCGAACTGGACACGTGAGCTAATCAAATAAATCAAATAAACAAATAAGCTAATCAGCATATTTGTGCCCTGGACTGCACCCTCCCAGGGGCATCTCTACACCTGATTGGTCCTCCACTCTGACCAATCCCTGGCTACTATTCTCCCTGCCAAGAGAATCCCTGCTTGGAGGCGGTGGCGTCAACAGAGCTCTCAGCCAATCCAGGCACAGAACCTGACCAGCCTCCTTTCTAGCCAATCAGGGGAGGGGGTGGGAGGTTTGTATGGCTGTCAGAACTATATAAGACATCTTGCATTTCTCTGTATCTTTATTTTTGTACATTTTTAAGTAAAGTGTTGTACCTTTTTGGCCGAATCATATTAACACCTCTGTGGCTTGTTTTCAACCTAGTGAGTTGGTTTCCCTATCCTGAGCTATCTGATTTAGCATATGCTCGCCAGGCACTGACTTTATATTCATGGTCCTTGCTAAATCACTTCACTTGCAACAAGGGGATAATTATATTCTGTTTTCTTGCTGACAATATATTTAATAATATTTTTGCTGTGTAGCAAGTAGCCTTTTTTACTTTCTCTCGTTAGGATAAATATTCTTTGTTTTTAAAAAATACATTTTTTGCTTTTTACTTACTTTTTTAAAGGAATAAAAAGGTAATAAACATAGTGAAGAGTATTAATGCAGGTTTTTCTTATAGAAAATTACAGTGGTAACAGTTAAATTTATGGGCTTCCAACAAATCACATTAAAAAATCCCTACTTTCAAAAAGCAATTTTCTTAGTTCAAAGTATTGACAGTTTTATGTTTGAAAGCCTCACCTTATCTTAAAACAATGCAAGTGGCCTGTTAAATTAGTTTTATGCTGTGAAATAAGCCTGCCCTCAAAGGAAGATCTTCCTTAAATCTTCTGATGTAGCCTCAGTTTTTAAAACATAAAACCCTAGACTCACCTCTGATGCATCGGTTCTTCTTTCTAATTTTGAGAAAATGTGATGGGCAGTGTATAACATACATCATCCTTAAAAGATATTATCCAAAATTATTCTCACAGAGTATATCTGTCACAGAGTATTTCTGAATCATTCGGATAATAGCAACCTATTTATGTCGCTTTTTGAATTTTGCATTTGGAGATACATATATGCTCGTTCAGAAAATTGGGAGTAGTCATGCTTTTTCCTGCCCCCTTCCTATTAAATTGTTTCCATTGTTCAAGCATGCAAGTATAAGACAACATCCTGAAATCTCTTTGATCCTTTCTTTGTAACTGAAGGTCTTCCATAACAATTTTTGTCTACCATTGTCCAAATGCAACTTGATGTGGGCTGTTGAATTCTGTACTTTGATCTATGACTAAAACATGATGGTACTTATTACAAAACAAGGGAAAATGGAAATTTAGAGTGAGGTTGAAAGTGCAATTGGAACAAATCATGTCACAGAAATAGACCAGTAGCACAGTTAACAGAAAAGATACATATTGTATATTGCTGACATGTTAGTCATTCTCATTCTTTTTAATTAAATGTATTTTCAGCTAACTGTAGTCCAGGTAGAAACATACAGAAACGTGCTGAAAGTGCTTTTTGTTAGTGGAACTAGTGGAGAGAGAGAGAATTATCTCTCTTCCCTCTGGATCCCCAAAACTGGCTCAGGATGAATGAAAAATCATCCACAATAGATTTTGGGGTGGCACCAATAGCCACAGGGGATGTATGGGAAAGAAAATGAACTAAGTGTATATGTCTGTGTGTCTGCTGGAGTGTGTTTGTATCTGTGCCTGTGTGCCTGTGTAGAAAGAACATGACTACATCTTCTTCCCTCTATCAGAATATGTAGTCTAAACTATGACCTAAGGGAAAGTATAAAGGAAGTGGACTCAGCACCAAACAAGGAAATAATATGTGATTATTTCAGGAAGATAGATCCTAAACTTCATTATAGTAGAGTACCACTCCCTTCTGCTTTGGTCAGGCCTAATCTGGAATGCTATGCCCAGTTCTCGGTATCAGAAGGATATTGACAAAGTGCTACATATGCAGAGGAGGACAATCAAGATCACAAAAGGTCTGAAAATCATGCCCTATGAGAAGCAGCTTAGGGAGTTGTGTATACCTAGCCTGGAGAAGAGAAGATTAAGAAAGGACGTGGTAGCTACTTTTATTTTTTTTTTGAAAAGATGTCACACTGAGCAGGGAGCAAACTTGCTTTCTGCTGCTCTGGGGGCCAGGACATGGATCAATGGATTCAAATTGCAGAAAAGAGATTCTTCCTGATGGCAAGAGCTGTACTGCAGTGGTATATGCTGCCTCGCAGGGTGTTTAGTGGAGCCTCCTTCTCCTAGTCAGTCGTTCTGGGAGGCCATTCCAAGCACAGGAGCTGCCAGAGGCAGCTGAGAGGAGTTGTTTTAGAAAGCTTGTAGATATGGATGTGTTATGATGTAAGAGCTGAATCACAAAAGGAACCCACAAGTGTTTGGGAAGTCTAGACAAAGGAACCTATGCTGAATTCAAATGGGGGTCTCATAATCAGATTTATAATAGCTGTGGCAGCCAAGTGTTGAACAGCAATGAGGGAACAAAGTTGAGATGACAATAGATCAGAAGGAAAATGGCTGTAGTGCTAATATTTTGTAAACTGACACTTTTGTCAAGTGCAAATTGACAAAATAAAAGAGTTCATTATTCAGGGCAGGCAAATCACAATTACAGCAGGACAGCAGTGTCATTGCTTTGGTCTTATCACATGATGTCATTCCCTTTCTGTGGTCTCCTGCTGGAAGACCATTACAAAGTGTTTCTTTTACAAAAAGAGGTCATTAACTGATTATGTTTAGAAAAGGAACACTTTCTAGGCTGTTTCCCACCAGGAGAGTGGTGCAAAAAGAGTGACATCAAAGACATTGTTATCCTGCTGTAATTGCGATTGCCTGCCTCATGTGATAAAAGTCTAAGACATAACTGAGTGAGTCAACTCATTCCATGTTTCAAACAAAAACAGAAAACAGTGTTTTTCAAATTGGAACACAATTGGCTTAATAAGCAAATGATTTGGCATAACTAGGTTATGAATAAGGTCATAGATTGTATAACAGGTGTCTTTTTCTCTTGATGCTTTGTGTACAAAACATAATTTACAGTTCAGACAACAGCAGCAATCCATTATCAACAGTGATGTAACATCGCTCCTGCTTGGCACAAATACTTTAAAAGACTAAGGCACTGAAACTGCAAGCTGCTTTGAAGCTGAACGGTTTAGTTCTGGTTTATTTGTATTCCCCAGCCACAACATCTCTCGTTTGCTCTTTCTCTCTCTGTCTTAAAAAACAAGCAACCACACAGCATCCTGCAGAAACGCTTGATGGAGACAAACATGTCCAAACTGCGCCATGGCCGAGGGACAAGCTCTCCGAAGAATGACCTCCCAGCCCAGACAAATAAACTGAATCAAATGAAACTGGATTGCCCCAAGAAAACAGAGCAAGATGATCTCATCTTAGTATGTTGCCAGGTATGAAAGTGTGAAGAGTTACAAGGACTTGGACTATCACAGTTAATAGTTGATAGACTGCATTTCCTTGGTGGGATTTATACGTTATGTAGCCTTCAGGCATTTGGATGCCTGGGGGGTCTCTGACCAGTAAAGCTGCAAGCCATTCTCTACACTAGATTTTATTTCCCATATTGCATCATGACTGTACAGTTTCCCCAGGAACACATTCATTTGTAAGGAGATTTCATTAAGCTATGAGACTGGAATCTTATTGAAACTTTACACTGGTGTAACTTGGGGACCTACTTTGTATGACATTGCATATGGAGGTAACCTTTCCTCCTTCCACAAGAGATATACATAGCAGTGCCAAGGCTGATGTTCAGTGCCTGAGCATGACTCCAATCCAAATAAGCATGTACATGTCTTGGGCGTGTGTTTGTCAGGAGGAAACCTTCCATGTTGCCATAGGAATGTAAGCCTCCATCTTTCTCTATCAGTCTAGACTCCATGTATCTGCACTGGCAGAATTCCTCACTCTGCGAGATTAAAAGAGCTCAGCCCACACATTTCAAGAAACTACTGGTCCATGAAGAAATTTCCCCTCTGCTAGAAAAGGTGTATTAGATAATAATTTGTGTTGTGAAAGGCTTTCATGGCTGGAATCACTGGGTTGCTGTAAGTTTTTCAGACTGTAGGTGTGAATGATAGGTGGCCAACCTTCACGCCTGCCTCCAACAGACAAGAGTTCTTTTTCCCGCCCTGGACATTCCACAGATATATAAACCCCATTTTCCTGGTTTCCAACAGACCTCACAGCAACTGAGGATGCCTGCCATAGATGCAGGTGAAACGTAAGGGGAGAATGCTTCTGGAACATGGCCATGCAGCCCAAAAAACTTACAGCAACCCAGATAGTAGATCAAGATAATGCTTGTTCCTAGAATTCTGTTCTACAATGTTGCGAAGGGGTTGCCCCACTTCAAAGAAAAGGGGTTTCAGGAGAGAGAATTTTCGATTTATTATTTATTAT